CCAGGCTGAAGCCAGGAGCCAGGACCTTCATCTGAGTCTCCCACTTGGGTGGCAGGAGTGCAAATAGTTGAACCATCTTCCACTGCTTTTTCTAGTCTACTAGCAGGGAGCTGGATCAGAAGTAGAGCAGCCACGATATGAACCAGTGCCCGTATAGGATGCTGCTGTCACAGGTGGTGGCTTTGGTACCGATTTTCTTATCAGCGTTTCCCATATTAATAAGCTTTGTGGGTTCTTGCCACGTATTCTGAGAAGAATTCTGAATACTGGTTCAAATCGACCAGGCAGCATGATAAGTTTTTAAGCTTTTTATTCAGTAAGAGAAATACATAAGAGAGTGAGGGCTTTAAGGGAGAAAGGAAAGTCTGGAAATTAAGTTGGGGCCATACCAAGCAGACTAGCAGGTCAAGAGCCATGTGCAGCTAGCGCTTGGTTAAGAGCAGTTGCTAGCAGCTTATCACAGGCAACAAAGTCAAGGCAGAGAGCATGGGCAGCCCGAAGGCCACAGGCCCCAAAAGGGTGGGGCAACAAGGGCATAATGGTGAAAAAGGCCAAAAGGGGAAAAGGGCCAGGCCCACCGTGTTTCAGGCCTTTTATCCACTTCCAAAGGGGCGTGGTCATGTAGCCTGATTGGCAGGCGGCACACAGGTGTGGTCAGATAGGGGGATGAGATCACACAGGGGAGTGGTGAAGGCATGGTCGTCCAGCTCACAAACCTTATCGAGTTTATCCCATATGCTTGCATACATCAGCTTTACCCACTGTGCCACAATGCCAGCCTCTAATAAAACCATTTTAGTTGCCATATAACAGTACTTGGAGAGGCTTTGACACAATTTTATTAACCTTGCTCCTATTTTTGAATAATTAGGTGTAAGGAAAAATGTAAATGAAGACAGGGAGAGTTTCTAGAAGAAAATGTATTGACAGCAAATTAAAACACCAGGATATTCACAGCATGTACATTTGACCTTTAGGATTCTGGGTAACCTTATGTTCATTCTTCATGTTTTTCTCAATGGTACAAAAACACCAGTGAGAACATCTGTTCTTCCTGAGCATCCCCCATGTGTTTGGTAGATACATTTTCTCATTTGGTCATCATAATAAAAAGATGTTATTTATTTTAAAAGTAAGCAAAACGGGACTCAGATAACTTGAACCCAGGAAAGAAACCTTCTCCCTCAACCTTCATACTGTGTACTTCATGTTTTTATGAGTATATGCTATTGTTACCTACAAGCTGTTCTGAAAAATGGAAAAGAATTGTAAGCAATCACTCATTTCTGATGTAACACCTAAGCTTGTTACATGCTGAGTATAAAAATAATCTACCAAAATCCCAGGAAAATTGGAAAATCATTAAAAAATAAAAACCCCTCAGTCATGTCTTTAATGTTTAAAATTCAAGTGTGTTTTCAAGGTTCTCTAAAATTGATTTAAAATAGAAAAAAAACACAGTGTTAATTGCAGCTACCTGAAGGAAATCTAGATTCTGAGACTGGATGAAAATTGATTATGCTAAAAGTAGTCTTCTGTAATTAAATGAATGCTGTGCCATGCACTTTAATTAGTCAGCAGTAACTTATTTGAGTAGTAACAGTGATTCCTAGGGTATCTCATTTAATGGGAGCCCAGCAGCCATACCTCAGCTGAGGCTCTGTTTTCCAGCCACTGCTCCAATCTGAAACCTTAGGTAAGAAGACATAATCTTTTATAACTCAGGTGTGTACAATATAAATACTTTTCATTCTTTCATTCAGAAGGCATAACTTTTGAAGATTAATTTATTTATTTGAAAGGCAGAGTTACAGAGAGGCAGAGGTAGAGATAGATAGAGAGAGAGAGAGAGAGATAGGTCTTCCACCCACTGGTTCACCCTGCAGATGGCCACAATGGCCGGAGCTCCGCCAATCCCAAGCCAGGAGCCAGGAGCTTCCTCCAGGTCTCCCATGTGGGTTCAGGGACCGAAGGACTTGGACCATCTTCTACTGCTTTCCCAGGCCGTAGCAGAGAGCTGGATGGGAAGTGGAGCCTGAATTGGTGCCCATATGGGGATGCCAGCACTGCAGATGGTAGCACACCACAGTGCTGGCCCCATACAATAGGCTTTAAACTGTGCTGCAAGCCGAAATCAGAAGTGGACCCTGAACTTGAACTGATATGGGATGCCAGTGTCTCAAGCTGAGTCTTAACCCTTATGCCAAACACCTGCCCTGAATTTCAAGGATTCCTAACAGGGGAAAGGATCTGCCTTAGGAAGTATGCAAAGTCCTCTGCCTCTACATCCCCCAGGGGGGATATAGGAAATTAATAAACAATGTAAAGTTCCCCAAATAGATTTTTCTTCATGTCTAAGGCAGGTAAGTTGTACTCCCAACTTTAAGAAGTTATAGAATAATCAGAAAGCATGAAAAGTTAAAAGAACCAAGAAAAACATCTCCCATCAGCTCCTTTCATCTCTTCAGAGTGCTATTAACACGGGAGAGTGTTGTCTCCGCATCTTTTATCTAGCCATTGCATTTATATATTTGAGATCATTCTGTCTGCACAATTTGACATTGTACTAGCAAGATTCATGCAAAAAGAAATCTGGGATTTTATTGCTGACCTTCACGGGACTGCCATCAGTCATTCCTGTGTTTCCAGCGTCTCAGTTACAAGTTGTCAAGGCCTTTGCTACCCTGAGCCTTCATGGAGGGAAGGCTCCCACCAAAGGGACAGAACCTACTTCAAGGCTAGCAGTGAACATTCTGGGCATAGGAAAGGAGGAGATGGAGACTGACTATTTATTTAGCAGCTTGGGATTAATCACCCCAGCGTGGTTCATACTCACTGCACATTGGTATCCATGAAAGATAGGTCATGGTTATCATTCAGAGCAATCTGGAAGGCAGAGTTCTTGCTTCAGGTCATCCATCCTAGAGCAGACCAGGAGGATTAAAAGGTCACATTGATAGGGTTGTCACAGGACTTTGAATCACAGAAATAGAGATTCCCAAGTTAAAAGTGTGAAACCCAGTCCTAGATACAGATATGCAAGGGATATCTCTTTTTTGTTGTTGTTGCTTTTTCTTTAAAAAATACTAATAAAGTTGTTTCCAAACATAACTCTCCGCAAACTGGTAGGTAACTTAGACTGCGGCATGGACTCTAGGAGACTCACAGAGCGCTGGAAAACAAGGGCAGAGTCGACCCTCTTGTCTGCACTGCCACTGCTAACTGCCATCCAAGCCAAAGTGGTTCACTGGAATTCAGTTTCTATTTCCCTGCCATGTGGGGGTCCCAAATTGCCCCTCCACAGCTATGCCCCCCCATCAACCATCCTTCTCTGAGGCCAGGCCAGCTGGCCTGGGAACCACCTATAAGTACCACTCAGCAGACCCCACCACCCTCCATCTCTTTCCCTATCCGTGGCACTGTTCCCTAGCTCTCTTAAATTCTATAAACACTCATTCCTACTTTCCCCCTCTGGGCCACCTAACATACTCTCTTCAGGCCTAACTGAAAAGGAACCAGGGACAGCTCTTGTGGAATTCTGCTTCAGTCTAGAAACATGTACCTCCCAGGAAGTAAAAAAATAGCCTGTTTCCCTTATAGATGATGTAATGGGGGAGGGGCCACAAAGTCATAGCTTTCAAAAGATCATTCTGCCATAGAAAAGGTCTTGGAGAGGCCGGCGCCGCGGCTCACTAGGCTAATCCTCCGCCTAGCGGCGCCGGCACACCGGGTTCTAGTCCCGGTCGGGGCGCCGGATTCTGTCCCGGTTGCCCCTCTTCCAGGCCAGCCCTCTGCGGTGGCCCGGGAGTGCAGTGGAGGATGGCCCAGGTGCTTGGGCCCTGCACCCCATGGGAGACCAGGAAAAGCACCTGGCTCCTGGCTCCTGCCATCGGATCAGCGCGGTGCGCCGGCCGCATCGCGCTGGCCGCGGCGGCCATTGGAGGGTGAACCAACGGCAAAGGAAGACCTTTCTCTCTGTCTCTCTCTCTCTCACTGTCCACTCTGCCTGTCAAAAAAAAAAAAAAAAAAAAAAAAAAAAAAAAAAAGGTCCTGGAGAGGAATCAGTCAAGTTCACACCCAGAGCCAGGGTTCTTAATTTTTTAGCACCAAGAGGTCAAAGTTGCCATAAGCTGTTCAGTGTGGATCCTGTGAATCCTGGCTTTGACATGATAACTCTTTGGGTCTGCTTTCTCCTAGCACAGTGTTTGGCACAGAGAGCAGGATCAACTGATGTTACTTTCCCTTTCCATAGCTGACTGGCTTTCCAGATCACTGCCCAGACAGTCTCAAAGCAGTCGTGTTCATTCCTCATTCCCTAGGAGCACCCTTCCCAATGTATGCCTGGGGCCCACACTTGAAACTGCCCTATTCAGATGGTGCCCTATTCAAGGTGGTTTTACTTAACAAATTTTCAACTTTGGGGTGGTGCCATGAAAATACTCATTTAGTGGGAACAGTGCTTCAAATTCTGAGTTTTGCTTTGTTCTCAGATTAGTGATAGGAGATACAAGGCTGTCTTATGATACTGGGCAGCAAGCAGAAGCCTCAGCTCCCAATCAGTCCTTGATCTGAAAGAGAAGCAACCGATATCCTTGTGCCCTGTGTTGCTAAACTGCAATGCTTGGTAGGGTAGGTGTATTAAATGCATTTCCAACTTACATCGTCAGTTGTCGATGGGTTTCTGAGTACATAATGCCATCATAAGTCTAGGAGCTTCTATAGTGGATTTTTAGCTGAATTGTACATGTGATCCTGAGTCTTCCATAGTAGTTACTTTCCAATGTGAGAAAGTCAGGACCAGTCCACTTCAACACCTTGAGCACTCTGTACCCTCCAGAAGCTCTTCACCCATGAGTATCCCTGGATGTGGCCACTCTGGACATTTCCCTTCTCCTCTGCACTCACTTTTTGATCTGCAAGGAAAAATATTTCTCTGGGAATGAACCACATGACGTAGCATATTCTTAAACTCACCTCTCTTCACTTTTCCTGTCTCCTAGTCAGATACAGAGTTTTGGGATAAGATGCAAGCAGAATGGGAAGAAATGGCCAGGAGAAACTGGATATCTGAGAACCAAGAATCCCAGACTCAAGTGACAATCTCAGCCAGTGAGAAGGTAAGAATCTGTTCTTACAAAAGCTCACCTATTTTCTCAACCTCTTCAGATCACATTTTATAGTCAATAACTACTTTGTCAAAAATCCGAAAATTGAAAACACAACTTAATGTCAATCTGACCTAGAGGAAATACTAATACATGGAAACAGAATAATCCAATGTGTGGAGGCAGCCAAGCTGGAAGGAAACACTCTTATTTTTATCAGCATTCAGATAGTTTGGCAGCCAACTGCAGCTTGGATCCTGACTGCTGGCCAGTTGCTGAACTGGCATTTAGGGTTGGAACAAGAATGGGGCTTATCCCACAATGCCAGTCATGTGAGTCCTGTCTGTGTGTTAGCAACAGAAGTGATGTCAGTGGCAAGGAAGGAATGGGGTTTACAGCTGCTATTTCACAGGCCATCATTGCACAGCCTCAAAGAAACTTAATGGAAAAGGCGCTGCTCCCACTGCCAGGTCAAGTCCTGAGGGGATTTCTCAACGAGTCTCCCCTGATAGGAGCCCCAGAAAAGGTCCAGTGCAGTGAGCAATCGGCCGTGTTATGCAGGAAGTCCCAGTGGTTCTGCAATGGTTGGTAGTTCTCCAAAGAGCATAATAATAAAAAGATGAACAAGGGGATTTCAGAAGTTTCATGGAAAATGCATATTATGAAAAAACTGTGCATGATTTCAATGTTTTACATTAAAATAAACATCTTTTAATTCCATTTTTCCACAAACTTACCGAAGTACCCACGTACAGTAGGTGGTATATTTCTGGGGAGTAGGTAGGCAGCACTTTACAAAAATATTTCTATAAAGAGTCAGTATTTTCAAAATATTAGGGGGAAATGGTTAAAATGAAAAGAATAAAGAAAGTAGGAAAGTGGGAAAACAGATTCCAAATTATTAACAGTGGTTATAATTAGGTGTGGCATTATGAGTAGTTTTTTGTGGTTTTCTTTGTAGTATTTGGTATCATCTAGAATTTATACAAGGTTGGGGGCCAGCGCTGTGGCACAGTAGGTTAATCCTCCTCCTGCGGCGCCAGCATCCCATATGGATGCCGGTTCTAGTCCCGGCTGCTCCTCTTCCAATCCAGCTCCCTGCTATGGCCTGGGAAAGCAATGGAGAATGGCCCAAGTCCTTGGGCCCTGCACCCACATGGGAGACCTGGAGGAGGCTCCTGATTCCTGGCTCCTGGCTTCAGATCAACACAGCTCCAGCTGTTGTGGCCATTTGGGGAGTGAACCAGCGAAGGGAAGACCTTTCTCTCTGTCTTTCTCCCTCACTGTCTGTGACTCTACTTATCAAATAAATAAATAAAATCTTTTAAAAACATTTTAAAAATTTATACAAGGTAATAAAATTTATACCATTAAAATTTACTACATTCATAATTAGAAACTAGTAATTTTGGGGGCCGGTGCGGTGGCGCACTAGATTAATCCTCTGCCTGCAGTGCCAGCATCCCATATGGGCGCTGGGTTCTAGTCCCGGTTGTTCCTCTTCCAGTCCAGCTCTCTGCTGTGGCCCGGGAAGGCAGTGGAGGATGGCCCAAGTGCTTGGGCGCCTGCACCCACGTGGGAGACCAGGAGAGAAGCTCCTGGCTCCTGGCTTTGGATCAGCGTAGCTCCGGCCGTGGCGTCCATTTGGGGGCTGAACCAATGGAAGGAAGATCTTTCTCTCTGTCTCTCTCTCTCACTGTCTGTAACTCTACCTGTCAAATAAATAAATAAAAATCTTTTTAAAAAAAAGAAACTAATAATTTTTTTAAAAGGAAAAGTACTCATTTAAGTTTAAATTGCATAAAATCATTAAATAAGTGAGTTAAAAGTTGAAGAGAACTTACTGAAGGTGAGAAAGGCGAGATGAAGCAGTGGGTTGTGTAAGCCCCCGCTCTGTGTTGCAGGGATATTACTTTCACACTGAGAACCCCTTCAAGGACTGGCCGGGAGCTTTTGAAGAAGGTCTGAAGAGACTAAAGGAAGGAGACCTGCCAGTCACCATCCTGTTCATGGAGGCAGCAATTCTGCAGGACCCTGGAGATGCTGAGGTGCCATCCCCCTTCTACCTGCTGCGTGTGCCAATGAGGGAGACTCGGTGGGCCAGGCTTGTGCTGGGAAGCCTTTTCACGGTGAAAAGGCTCCCAAAGGAGTTCACTGGGCTTAGTATACTTGTTTGAAAGTTATACATAGTCACTTGTTTTCTAAGGAAGTCTCTTACCTACAGTGCCTGCAGGGTCCAAAGATAAAGGTTGAGGGCAGGAAATGAAAAATCAAAACTGCCAACCTGAAAGCTAGCAAGTTGCTTTCGGGGGCAACGTGTAGCTTTGTCTGGTCTCAGGTCACACCAAGAATCATCCTCGGTTTACTCACTCAACATTTCCTGAGCATACACCGTATCCCAAAATATTGTGCCAGGTCCTGGCTTAAGATATTGAGAAGCTGGGAAAATATAACAGTTGAAAAGACACATTTATGGTCTGTCTGGGGGAAAAGGTAGCCAAGTCAATGAAATGTAATAAATGCCATGTCCCAGGATGCACTGGATACCAGCAGAGCAGAAAGAAGGACGCCTAACCCAGTCTTCTGTGCTGTGAGTCCAAAGCTGAGTTTTGCAGTGGGGAAGATCAAAGATAACAGGAGAGCTGGGTTGTTAAGAGAGAATGGTGCATGGGTAGGCAAAGGGGCAGGAAGCCACCTGTCAGGTAGAAAGCAGAGCAGTAGAGGGAGATGAGAAGAAATAGGCAAGAGTTGCATGCCATCTGAAGGTCATGAGAAATCACACAGAGATTGTTGTCAAGAGAGGCGTCCGGTCAGATTGCACCTTAGAAAAATCTCTTTCTTGAGATAGAAAGGGTGACTGGAGGCGGAGGTGTTCAAGGCTCCCAAAGAGGTTCTGTAGCTCTGTCTGAGTCTATTCAATTTCCAAACCTCTGCAGGCCTGTAATAAGATAGTGGCAAGGGTGTAAAGGCTTCTTGTTTGCAATCTTAAGGAATCATCCAATATGGGATATTCCCAGAGGAACCTGCAGAAATTTTAGGGACAGGTATAAATGATCCTGAGAAGACAATGTAGACCAGGGGTTAATTACACTTCTAGGCTCTGCTATCCTGAGTAGACTAAAATCCCTGTCCTGCCCATTAGCAGTGTAACCTGGGACAAATCACTGAAACTCTTCATGTTTGTTCCTCATCTGCAAAGTGGAAATCGGAATTGGTAACAATCTCATTGGGTGTTGTGAGGATAAATTAGTTCAGACAAATAAAGTGCTCAGCTCAGTGTCCGGCACATCAACAGTTAGGCTTCATTGTTATTGGTTTATTGAGTTTGCATATGAATCGTAAGTAAATTAATTACTAGTTAAAGCCCTAATGTCTTGTCTGTCAAAATGACTAGGGTGAAATGAAATTGAACTTTGACCTGAAATTCTGAACTAAAATGTTGGAATTTTTAAAAGATATATAAATAGGTATAGAAAAAAATAATTACATTAATATAAAACTACAGTCCACTCCCCCTAAAATAATGTCACAGCTGTCATCTTGGATTTGTGTTTTATGAAATGTTTTCATGTATATTGCATCACTTGATACCTTAACCCTGGGAGGGTAAAGTATACATTACTATCCCTGATTCATAACTGAGAAAATCAGAGTCCTTGGTAACTAATGGACCCCAGGCAAGGGCCCAGGACTCCTGAATCCATAGAGACCCCCAGGACAAGATAATGAATGCTCTGTGGGTAGTGAAGATGACACCGTGGCCTAGGGCTGGAAAGAAGCCCCTGAAGAAAGAGCGTCTCTTCAGGCTTTTCCTAAGCAGGACTCTAAGCTACGTGGAAGGTGAAATCAAAAGAAAGGCTGCCCTATGTGTGCTTGAAAGATTAAAAAGAACCTGATATTCCGGGAGGAAATGATCAGTATTTTATGAGTCAATATTGTATGCATAATAATAACCCAGGAGGGGAAAAGCTAATACAACTTTAATGACTCTGTGTGCCTTCCTATAGCTTTGTTTTAAAATGCCTGTAACTTTGATTTCTAGAATAGGAGAATCCTACCCGCCCCAAACATTTTGAAATTCCTAAGACAGTAGTACATCCCTACCCTTAGCAAATTTGAGGATGGTGTGTTCAAGGGGGCTTCAAAAAGTTCATGGAAAATTCATGTCATCTTTTAATTCCACTCTTCCAGAACTTTGTGAAACACTTTCTTATAATGAGGTTTTTCCCATGTATATTACTTTTCTAATGGTGTAAGTCATATTGCTCTCCTAAGTGTATAGACAGAATTATGCCATATTAAAAAGTTCCATTCTAGATATTAAAAACGGTTATCTGCTTGAAGGTGTTCTTCATAGTTTTTACAATAGCAAAGGATAGGAAACAACCTTAGCACAATATGGAAATTAGTTAAGTCACAGGATATCAATCCAACAAAATTTCAATTTAAAAAGATAAGGATGTTTTAATTTGAAAAAAAGTGCTTAATACACAATATAAAATATAAGTGAAGACTATAAAATTACATATACATTTTGATTATATTTTATATGTGCTTTACACATTTTAACTGTGATTACATTAGAGGAGTGAACTCACTGTGGAGAGTTTTGCTTTTCTTGGTTCCTAAATTTTTGGTGACCTTTTCTAATAACTGCTAGATTTTCATCTCTACAAGCTAATTTCATGTTGTACATCCTAAGATGTCCATTGTAAACTTTATTCAGCTACATTTTGGAGTTATGTTTCTACCCCTTTTCCTCACAGTTGTATATTTGTTATTTAGATTTAGATTTTAAGAGACCTAATGTCATGACATCTCAGTAATTCAGAGGTTTCCATAGTACTTGATTACAGGAAAGAAAAATACTGAAAGAGTTTGGAAATAATGATGGAGAATCTTGACTTATATGCCATAAGAGAGTTTGAAGGGAGCAATGCATGTAGTCTTTTCCCTTTTTGTAGTTCTCACCTCTGAGTCAGGCTGCTCTTCTTGGGGAATCTGTCACAGGTAAACACACCACCTAAAGCCCTTCAGTAATCCTGCTTTGTCTTGTAGTACTAACATCAGTTGTTTTCATAGGCATGGCAGTTCCTGGGGATAACCCAAGCAGAGAATGAAAATGAACAAGCAGCCATTGTCGCCCTCCAGAGGTAGATGAAGCTAAGTGCAAAATCTTGGGCCTGGTGGATACTTGTTAATGGATGTGCTGTGTTTTAAATTTGTCTTTTGACCCTTATTGAAGTACAATGTAAAGATTTTGGCCAAGAGGCTAGAGTTAACCTACAGCAGGTTAAGCCACCACCTGCAATGCTGTCATCCCATATCAGAGAGCTGATTCAAGTCCCATATATTCTGCTTCCAATCTAGCTCCCTTCTAATGTACCTAGTAAGGCAATAGAAGACAGCCCAGGTACCTGTGCTCCTGTCAAAATGACTAGGGTGAAATGAAATTTAACTTTGACCTGAAATTCTGGACTAAAATATTGGAATTTTTTAAAGATATAGAAATCATTACAGAAAACAATCATTACATTAATATAAAACTACAGTCCACTCCCCCAAAATAACGTCACAGTTGTCATCTTAGATTTGTAAATGCTGTGTTTTATGAGGTGTTTTCGTGTATGTTATATCACTTGATATACTAACCCTGGTAGGTTACTATATACAATTCACAATGAGAAAACCAGGATCCTTGGCAAGGACCCAGTGAGTGTCCAAAGTGGAGTTTCTGGCTCCTGGATTCAGCCAGGCATTTAAGGAGTGAGGTGGAAGGACTCTCTCTCTCTCTCTCTCTCCCACTTTCAAATAAATAAAATTCTTATTTAAAAAAAAGAAAGAGACAGTTCAGCCAGAATAAGCACTGAGATGGCTGATATCTATTGCTCACCCTTAACTCTGGAAAATAAGAACTTATGATAAAATAATGTTCCTAAAGCAGAGTTTGCTGAATGCAAATGAATTAATGTTTACTACCACCAAAGGAAGCCTACATTAACAACAGTTAAAATGGCTATAATGAATTCTTACTAGCTTTTTAGTTTTCTGCAGCCCCTGAAAGTTTCCTTAAAGAAAAGTGTACTCAAAATACTGACTAAAAGTTCGACTACTTTGGGGTGGGGAGGTGGAAACAGTGGGTAGGTGTAGCAGCACACCTTACTTGATTAGAGTCCCTATTAAACCTTGGAAAACAGCCTCTACCAAATATACCTCTATTTTCCCTCCCTCTTTCCTGTAAGCACTTTTAATGCAGTTCTGTAGGAAAAGTATATGTGGGTATGGGTGTATGTGTGTGTGTGTGTGTGTGTATAATGCATATGTTCCATATATGTATCTCTGTGTGTGTGTGTGTGTTGTATAAATCCTAGAGTTTTGCAACTTAGAATGTAAGAATTCTATATCCTCATAATTCTAGAGCTTTGCAATCCTAGAATCCTAGATTTCAAGATTCCATTGGTATCTGGTGGTATAATGGCTCCTGGTGCCTTGAGAATCTTTTCATACAGAGAGAATTTGGGAACAGGAAAGGTCAAAGTCAAACAAATAGTATGTAACAAAGTCATAACTTATACCCTCAGCTCCTGTCTTCAAGTCTGGAACTCTCTGGGCCAGTGGTTCTTAATCCTGCATTAAAAATCGCAGTAGAATTTTAAAAAATGAAAAAAGAAGATGCCTAAGCACATAGCAGCAGAGATTATGATTTCATTGACTGGAGCTGGTGGCCAAGAGTTAGTAGATGAAAAATCCCCCCCCCCCAAGTGTTTCCAATGTACATTCAGAGTCAAGAACTTCTCTGCCCTGTCGGATAGTTTCTGGGAGGCTGGGACCTGCACTGAGGTGTTAGGTACTGCCGAGGGCTTGCTACTGCAGTCTTATCCTGGAACAACCAGGTCACCATTATGTGGGAGGTTGTCAGACCTGCACAACTTCAGACCCTCCCTCAGGACTACTGAACCAGAATCTGAATTTTGCATGGTCCCCAGATGATTTGCATGCACTTCAAAATTCAGAAAGCCCCTGCTAGGGGGCTGTAGAATGGAATGAGGCTGAGCAGTCCTCGCCTCCTTCAGTACCCCAGTAGTCTGGAAACACAGACCTTTCCCTCTCCTTTGCAAACATTGTACAATCTTTCACTTTAGGATGTCCAAATGTGGTTCAAGTCAGTTTTCTTTGGGGATAAGGGCATTTAATATATAAGTAGTAAAACAGAAATATTTTTAAAAAATGATATCCCCTATAACTCCCTAGATTAACTACTAATAAATTTTGTGCAGGAATTAGGCACAGCTCCTGTAGTTTTAAAGACATTTATTAAAGTTACCAAACCTGGCAATCATCAGGATTAGGTGTAACATTTTCAAAACTAAGCTTAGGTCACAATTCTCATATGGACAAACAGGGTGCTTTGCAGGGACTTGACATAAACAAACTTAACAATCCTTCTGTGATCTTTAATTAACAAAATCTTCACATTTTCTGTAGAACTGCTAGATGTTGGCTCAAAAGAATCTGAAGTTGATTCCTGTTTCTCCTGTTTGAGTCTGTTTTTGCCTTCTTTCAGGTGCTTGGAATTACAGCCTAACAATTTGAAAGCGCTGATGGCTCTGGCTGTGAGTTACACCAACACTGGCCATCAGCAGGATGCTTGTGACGCTCTCAAGAACTGGATTAAGCAAAATCCAAAGTACAAATACCTTGTGAAGAGCAAGAAAGGATCTCCGGGTCTCACCCGACGGTTGTCCAAGTCCCCGGTTGATAGGTATCCTTTCCACTGTATTACAGAGAGCAGTGAACCACCCATATACAGAATTCATCACCTTGAGGGTAACTAATCAGCCTCAGATCCCGCCACCACGCGCTCCCGAGGGGTTTAGAGGACCGCATTCTGCTAGCAGAGCAGTGCTGATTAGAAATAGTTATGCTGAGACCAGATCCAATCTTCGGACGCATGACCCACCTAGTGGGCACTTGCAAACATTTATCTGAGTCCCATATGTGAAAGCCAAATGCTTTAGACATATAATTCACCTGAAGTGATGCTTCAAATTTTAGAAAGCCAACGGATTAGGAATGAGGAAAAATGAAAGTCCTTTCTTCTAGGAATTGTATGCTCTATCACAGTAAATCCTGATGTTAAGTTGTTTCTCATGAAGGCCTTGAGAAGCAGCTGTGGGGCTTTTCACTTTGGTACTTGTAGGGTCAGCTGAACTGTCTTTGTGAAGACCTTACTTAGAACAGTCTGAATCTGTGCGTGACAAAATATTTCATGAAAATCATCTATTTTTTAATATTCAGTATTCATAGTTCTCCCATTAAGCAAAGATATTTTAAGCAAAATTTTCCAATCTGTATGAAGAGAGACTTCTTGAAATAGTGTCGAGATTTAATAGTAAATCATTTATGCCCAGGCTATTTGAATTGCAAATCTAATTTTTTTCTCTTGGTAGCTCCGTTCTGGAAGGAGTGAAAGAACTGTATCTGGAAGCTGCCCACCAAAATGGAGATATGATCGACCCTGATCTACAGACAGGGCTGGGGGTTCTGTTCCACTTGAGTGGAGAATTTAATAGAGCAATTGATGCATTTAACGCTGCCTTAACTGTTCGGCCAGAGGTAAGGAAGCAAGAGCAGCAAAACACCCCACGATTCTCTGTAGCATGTTTTCACAGGCCACACTCTCCACATTGCCTCTACTATTTATTTCCAACTCCAGTGGTTTAAAGTGATCAGTGCTAATGACATGCCACTTTGGCTGCTAATACTGAAATGCCTGCATTAGCAACATCAATTAATGACAGCATCAAATGGTCACTACTCTAATGAATGAGAGTCGTTTCACAAAGTTTTCTATAAAAAGTTTTGAGTAATTCACCTCACATGGTACCTGTCCATGAACACTGGCTCAGTTTCCAGCTATCTCCTCTCCTCTGCAGACATATGACAATACTCTGTCCCCGTGGCTTGTATGGGTTGCTAGAGAGTTCTCATTATGTCTTCAGGACTATTCATTATGGAACCGTCTCGGGGCGACCTTGGCCAATGGAGACCGCAGCGAGGAAGCGGTGGAGGCCTACACGAGAGCATTGGAGATTCAGCCAGGCTTCATCCGGTCCAGATACAACCTGGGAATCAGCTGCATCAACCTGGGAGCCTACAGGTGAAATGTGGTGACAGCCTGAGAACACAAAGCCTCACTCAGGGTTGATGTTGAATGAACAGAAAGAGTGTTTCCAAGTAAAAATTCCTCCTGCTGTAGGAGTGTTCCCCCTCCTTCCCTTGAGGGTGAACACCAGACTTTGAGACCCCGAGGCCTTTGTCAGCAGAAACACCTGCATCTCTGGGTCTCTAGCTATTTTTTTAATATTTATTTATTTATTTGACAGGTAGAGTTATAGACAGTGAGAGAGAGAGACAGAAAGAAAGGTCTTCCTTCCGATGGTTCACTCCTGTAATGGCCACTATGGCCAGCACTACACCAATCCGAAGCCAGGAGCCAGGTGCTTCTTCCTGGTCTCTCATGCAGTTGCAGGGGCCCAAGCACTTGGGCCATCCTCCACTGCCCTCCTGGGGCCACAGCAGAGAGCTGGACTGGAAGAGGAGCAACCAGGACAGAATCCGGCGCCCATATGGGATGCCGGCACTGAAGCGGAGGATTAACCAAGTGAACCACGGCGCCGGCCCCATCTGGGTCTCTAGCTTTAGAGAGCAGCAATCACCAGAGCTCTTGGGAAGTCTGGGTTCCCACACCCCTCCCCTGGGGATTCTGATTTGATCAGTCTGGGTGAGGATGAATTATCTGAGTTTTTGACATCCCCACAGGCAGCTCTTTAATAAGCATGCACAGTCCAATCTTTCATTTTTAAGTTAAGAATAAAAGGAACCCTGGGCATGAATGAGGGACACTGCAAAAGGGCTTAGGAAGGTCCCAGAACCAGTTTTTGGAAAAGCAAAGGCAGTAGTCCTGGTTTCTAAATCTAATGTATTAATAGAATTGGGGCTGGGGAAACTGGTAGGTTCATGGTTTAAACTGCCTTTCTCATTCAAATCTCACCGTTTGTCGATATCATGCAGGTACACATCTTTTCTTTCTCCCACTAACAGGGGCTCTGTATGAGGTTTATTTCTTTGGGTAATGAAAGTATGATTTTTTTTATCTTCCTTTTCTACTTTTTTTATTTCCTAAGTAAACAAGTATTGCTTTCATAATTGGAAAAATGAGAACTAAAGGTTAGTTTTAAACCCTACCAAAAAAATGTAATCCCTTTCTAATTCTCAGAAAAAACAATGCTTTGGTAGTAATCAAACAAGCTTCAGTTAAATCACAGCTCTGCCATTTACTGATTTTATGACTCTGGGTATACAACGTGGAGTCTCAATTTTTTCACTTGTAAAGACAGAAAGAGAGAGAGAGAGAGAGGGAGGGAGAATAATAACTCCCTTGCAGGACTGCTGTACAGGATAAATGTATTGCCTAACAGAGCAGATGCCCACTGCTTAGACAGCAATTCTTACTCATTCTTATTATGATTATTCATCACTAGTATCCTTACTGCTATGGTTTTATTTACTTAAGTTCCCAGAGAGCTACGTAAGTAGTTGGCATTCTTTTGGCATCTGAACAATTGTCTGGCTCAGCCCTAGCCGTTGTGGTCATGTGAATGAACCAGTGAACTGCAGTTCTATCCATCTGTCTCTATGTCAAAAAAAAATTTAATAAAGAAACTATTCATACATACGTGTGTTAAATATTTGTAAGCCGTTCACATATACACATGTATAATCATCAGGGCTCCCCCAAAAGACTCTGAGTTCACAAGTTTGGGAAGAGGTTTCAAATATCTTCATGCAAAAACCTGGAGTTGTTTGGCAAGGCCAACAAGTCAGAGCCTTCTGTTACTCTCCAGTCTCTCTGAGACCACTGCCACAATCCAGGGGCTGGGAGCAGCCGGTGAATGAGGGGGTTCCAAGATCTTCCTGGCTCCAGAGTCTAGGATTAGGAGAAAAAAGTGAGGGAGAGTCTCATTAGAGCTGCCACCCTGTGAGGAGGGAGCAGAAAGGGTCTGTACAGTAGATTCCTGTGGTCATTTTCTTATAAATCCTCTCTTGCATGATCACAAGAAAACCAGAATAGAGGATGATTAGAGCACCCAGTTCACTCCGTTACTCACGTTGCTACAGACAGCACCCTTCTGCTTTTTGCTGTCAGGAAGATCTAGCAATGTAGATAAGCAAATGCCTAGATAATGTGCCCTGAAATTAGAAATCTGGCCTCTCTTTCAAGGTTTCTTACCACATGCTTAATAACTACCTTGCATGATAAGAGAGATCAAGTGTATGAAAAAAGTAAAGCAGATACAAAATAAGTGGTGTAATTGAATTTAGCCAGGATTAGTTTGTCACAGAATATGATGTTGGGGTTTCATGGAAGTGCTGAAGAGAACAGACCCAGCAAGTACACCTGTGCCTGAGCAGCCTTGAACTATGGGAGTTGGAAGGATCCAACTCAACTCTTCTCAAACCTTGTGTTCTTAGAATCCCTTTCCACTTTTAATGAGTATTAGGAAACACAAGGGCTTTGTTTACATGGGTTTTCTGAAGGTACTTCAAAAAGGTTGTGGAAAATGGAATTAAAAGATAAATTTATTTAAAAAAAGGTAAATTTATTATGTGCTGAAATTGTTGAAATTCATTGCAAACAGGGGTCTTCAGAAAGTTCATGGAAAAACTTATAAAAAAACATGCATAGATTCAAAAATATTTGGACCAAAATAAATTTATCTTTTAATTCTATTTTTCCACAAATTTTAAAAATACTCTCCTGTTTATGATACTAGAAATTAAACTGAGAACATTTAAAAAGATTAATTTAAAATTAATAAAACCTACTACATACTACCATAAAGAGCATCTTTTACTACTTTTCCTAGTCCGTTACTGGGGAGCTGGACTGGTAGTGGAGCCGTGTCCCAGGGAGTAGCTTAGCCAGCTACACCACAACACTGGCCTCACTCACAAGGTTTTAATATGACTTCTGTTATAAGAAATTTGCTAAGACTAAATAATTGGGATTCAAGCCCAGATGCTCTGATAATAAGTCAATCTCACTCTAGCTGCATTCTGAATTTGTCACTAATAAGAAAAACAGACTGCTTTGTTTCTGAGCAGTTCTATAGCCTTTTTCCTAAGCTCTACATGTAGAAATCACATCTGCAAAGGGATGAAGTCTGCTAATCATTCCTGGTGCTGGGGAAACCAAATGCATTAATGAGTTAGTGATTTTGCTATTATTCTTTTGTCTCCCACGTGAAATTCTCAAAATAAAATTTGCTTTCAGCTTTTTTCTTCCTGATTTCACTCCATTTAACAATGATTGTTCATAAAAGAATAATAAATCAGAGCGTTGTTCATCTGACCATCCAAAGTGCCATGGAGAGATGATTTAGTATTTTACACTAAAATAATTTCACCTGTTGGGTTTAAGTGTCTATCTGTAATTTGTTGCAATTTTAAAATGTGTTTTTCTACCCTCTTAGAGAAGCGGTCAGCAACTTTCTCACCGCCCTCAGTTTGCAAAGAAAGAGCAGGAATCAACAGCAAGTTCCTCATCCTGCAATCTCCGGGAATATCTGGGCTGCCCTCAGAATCGCACTGTCTCTGATGGACCAACCGGAACTCTTCCAGGCGGCTAATCTTGGTGACCTGGATGTCCTCCTAAGAGCTTTCAACTTGGATCCTTGAAGGAGAAGAAACAAATAAAAAATAATAATCCCTCTTCTGTGTAACTGTACTGAGAAGTTAAAAATTATTTTATTAAGAATTTCAAAAAGGATAAATCAGATATTCAAAAGGCCAAGGTCATATAACCCAAGGGGATTAATTCCTACAGACAATGCCGAGTCTCTGTTCAGACCCAAAAGCACAAAATGTTGTATGTAGAGTTGAGGTCAGGTTCAAAAGAAGAATTGAGAGACTCGCGAATACTCGTCACAAGTGGCAAGCATTTTGCAAAACCGTTCATTGGGTGTTTTGTCCACAGTTGCAGCTGATGACTTATCTGAGGAACTTGCTCTCAGAACACATGGAATAAGCATTGCCTCAGATTAGGGAATCCTGGCTGTTTCAGAACTATTCCCTGAAACCCCCTTTTGCAAGACTGAACATAGTTTGGGCCATTGGTGCATGCACATATATTAACTCTTGACTAAAGACAGGCATTGCTTAAACCTTTTCCAATTTTAACTTTTCTGTAGCCCTTTGATTCCAGAGAGAGAGAGAGAAAGAGAAAGCTTTGCTGGCAAAAGCAGTTTTTGCACTAGAAATTTTTGCTGTTCCCATTCAAAACTTTTCTGGGAGTGTATATATGCACTTTAATATCTTATGTATGCCTTGCTGGAGTTTTGTTTTGTTGCTCCAATTTTTACCTTGGGGGTGAAAGATTTGAGAATTCAACCTTGTTAGATCAATGGACCAAATAAAAATTCCTGAAATCGTTTTTCATAGTGTAGGGTTTTGAAAGAGTGTTTTCTTAAAACTGGTATGACACAGGGTGTATATACATTTAAAACAGATCTTCTTATGCACATGCTTTCTGGGACTCTATGAACTTAAGTTAGAAACAAGGTACTGTCTGTCTTGCCGGGAGAAAGTTTGAAGAGACCATGATTTCGGTTGAGTTTGCATTAACTTGCTTAAGCGTCATATTTTACTGGCTTTCTAACTGCCCTGCACAACAATATTCCTTTTAAACTGTTAATATTTTAAATGATGTTTCTTAAAAGTGATAAATACATTTTCCTAAAAATTATGTGTTTTCTTAGCACCATAATAATCTGCACTGTTCACCTTCTTGCATTCTAAGTGATAGAAGATTAACATTTTCTAACTGAATCTCGTTGAATGCCAGTGGTTTAATAGGAAAGATGCATGCCCATTTGGGTCTTATTATCTTGAACATTTAGCAAGTATCAGGAATTTTCTGTTGGCAGTGGTGTTTTGTTTCATTAGCAACCTTTCACTTATTTTTTTTCAGAATGCTGTGTGTATTTGGGGCTTAATGATGTTGAAAGATACATTTTTTAAAGAATTAGAAAAAATTGTTTGCAAAATGCTAACCAAATTTCACCAGTGTTTGTTCTCATTTCCTGCCTTGTCTCCTTCCTTGTTCCAGAACCTTCCACAGAGTAGTCTAGTCCCAACTTTTTCATCATGTTCTTTGGTTAATAGTTGCTCATTTCACTAATGGTCATAATTATGTGTGCACACACACAGAATCTGATCATAGCAGTTTGGAGAATTAGCTTCTACTAAGGGTGAAATATGCACACGTGCTGAGAAACTGAATGTTAAGTGCAGGTATAAATCCCCTCCTCTGCTGCTTTGAAGTCTCCAGGTCGTGAAGAGCTTCAAGTTAACATAAAACCACAAGTCCTTGAGGCTTCTATATATTATAACAGACTCTAATTTGTAAAGATAAAGAGTTGAGGCCCTGTAAATGGTGGGTACCAGGTTGATACTCATTGTGAACGCTCACAGGGGCAAGGTGACGGCCCCAGGTGAGCAGCAGAGAGCAGTCGCTAAGCATTCATCATGGGGCAAGGGCAGCCATCCAGGCTGGGCCCACAGATCCCTTAGATGCAAAGTAAGGCTCAACAATATTTTCAAGAATGGTGTCTTTCACATTTTAGAATTCTAGAAACCCAGACTGAGAAGGTCTTCCGGGGCCAGCCTCGAGGCCACAATAGCTGACTGTTACTCCTGGTAGATCAGAATCCCATCTCTGCCTGCCTCTGTTCTTCACAGCCTTTGTGTTTTTCCTGACTGGCCAGTTAGTTGACTTGAATCTAGTCCATTAGGAACCTCTGAACAAATGACTCAAAGGAGCCTACAGGTATCCTCTGTGTGACGTCATTCTATGCCTCCAGCAGCAACTGGATTTGCAGTAATGACAACAAGACGTTGTGTTGGCCTTGCTGGTACCACATACATGAGGTCAGTAACAGTTTAAAGTCTGAATGTAGTGTAAATAAGAAATAGCTTGGTTTAACTTGGTTGCTGCTAAGTAAAAACCAGTACTAAAAAGTGAGGCAAAGTTTATAGAAATACAGCACCATCAAAGATTAGGTAGCAAAACTTAGGACAGTATTTATTGTGAACAGCACGTACATCTTTTTTAAAAGTGTAGACACATTTTTAAGGCAGAATTGCTTTGTGCATCTCATCTTCATGGCATGAAATTGTCATTTAATTTGCTCTTACCATTTGAAAGGGAAGCTGTCCTTGGTTCCCTTAGCAGGAACTCTGGGCATGCTTTGAGTTCCTTTGTGTGTGTGTGTGTGTGTGTGTGTATAATGAATAAGAGCCTAAGCTTTTAGAGGGTGGTAGTCTTGTACTAGAAGAGCCATGCAGTTGCTTAGAAAATGCAGAGAAACCCAGGGATCATTGCTGAATTTTCAAAGTACAACCATTTCTGTGCTGCTAAGGAGGAGGAGGGCTAGAGTAGAGGAAGAGAAGTAAAGGACCCTCTTCCTGAGCCAATTATATTGGTTACTCCTTCCTGGACCTCCTTCCAAGGTCATTGTCCTTGATCTGAAAGGCAGATCTTGTCTACAAGGCAACTTTACTAGAAACTATGAACTGTGCTTTCCTAGCCAATCTGGATTCCCATCAGAATAGCAAATTAGTGATACCCAACCAGGTAGGAATGTCCAGAACACATTCACTTTCAACATTTTATGCCTCGTTCTTCATTCTTTTATTTGAAGAGAGCTATTATGTCGAGTCTTGGGACTAAAGACTTGTAGGGATAAGTCATAACAGCAAGACTTGAACACAATTATCGCCAGTCCCATGTAGGACAAGCATCCCAAACTTTTTACCATAACTGTCTGCAAGCTCATTGGGAATATTGGTGCCCCTTCTCCATTTGCCCCTGAATCTGTTTCATAAGACTGGACTGTATTTTAAGTTAGATGTCACAGTAATGGTTATTATTTTATACCGTGAAACACTTCTAAAAGCAATCTAGAACAGGGTATTTGGAGTTGGAGGGTGTGATTCATGTGCCATCTTTCTGAGCCCTCTTATTTTAGAAATTATTTTACATGCACAAGCATTAGTTCAACTTTATAAAATAATTTCAAATTCATCCCCTATCCAGATTTTACTGCACAATTTCCTGTCATCTCAGTATTTATAGAACTGGTTGAAATTAAACTGTTTTGAACAAAGAAGTAGATACATATATATTTTTAAGGAGTGTTCATAGATGAACTCTGGCATAAAGTTAGTTTTTAAAAAAATGGCAATTTTTAAAAACCTACATATATAACCTCAGGTACAAAAATACTGCATGCATCAGTACTTGCAAATCTGCTTACTTAAATATTAACCAAAGCATGCAAGATAACTTTACTGAATGTAAATTTACACAGTGCATGATTGATTCTCATAGGTTAGCTTATTTTTCCTTCTTCCTGAACAAGGGAACATTTTCACGAATTTTGTGTTATAGTTTTTCTATTTGCTTTTATTACTTTACTGTTGAGATTGTTTTCATGCTATCACACCAAACTTTACAGATATGCACACATCTGGTTGGACAGTGTTGCAGCCAGTGCCAAATTAATTTTTTAAACACCAGTTGAGTCACAACAGATCCAAATCTAAAACAAATCCATGTGTGTAAATGTTACTAAACTGAATTGTGTTGGTTGCCTCAGAATATAAAGGTTTGTGCTTCTAATTTCTCAATAATGCATTTCAGATTTTTTCCAAAAGTTTAGGAATAAACTAGAAAAACTGACATGCTAAATAAGAGGAGGAGGTTGGGGTAATTTCAGGCACATGAAGACCCTCATAAGGCAAAGTATAAATGGTGCCTTAATTTCTAAAAATGACAGACAGGGATGGTACAATGTTACATTGAGGTCTAGGGATATCACAGCATTGTTTGTGTTGACACTGCCCAATTTATATGGTCAGTGGACTTGGACCCATGTCCCTTGAGAAACGAGTTGACCATGGATCTAAATTGAAATTCAGGGGTGGTGAGGTGGTTTCATGTCGCTCAGAACAAACTCAGAAGTGCGCTCACTGCATTTTTTTTTGTAGCCACTATTTTATGAGGTGACCAGAAATGGAAAGAGCAAAGTTTAGTAAGACAGTGGAGTCTGATGTTAATGATAGCATTGTTACTTCCTTCACACACCCTTACAGTTCCCCACACATATACGTGAGCTCAAAGACAGAATTCCCCAAACACATAGCAAGGGCCCTTGTGTGGGGGCACTGAACAGTTAAGAGGAGAAAAATCAGAAAATTGAAGTGTGAGGTTTAACAACTTCTCATGTAGTCCTTTGCCTTGAGCAAGGTTTCCACTACCTGCAACCTCTGCAGAAATACCAAAATAACCAAGTAACCCGCTCTGGAAATAAGTGCCCCAACCTCAGAGCTGTTTTCTCAGGGCCTTCTCTGAAAGAAAAAGCTAACTTGCAATGTCACAGTGTCACAGCCAAACCGTGACTGATTCCAGGGGTCACTTTAGAAACCTGCACTGAAAGTAATATTAAGATTTAAAAAAAAAAAGATGGGGTATTTCTTTGCTCAACAATAAAATGTGTATAGTTTGGGATTTATTTGTTAATTTCCTGGGCAGGGAAATGGTATGATATAAAAAGGACTAAGAGGTGTCCACACTAAACTAGGCATGTGGCATTTTCTCTGAGATATGTAACATTTTTGCATGGATACTATAAAAAGAGTGTGCCATGTGAGAAACTGTTCATGCCTGTGTTACCAGCAGCTAAAGGAAATAGACAAACCTGAATTTTTACCAATTTCCTTTCATTTTCCCCATATATCTTCCCTTCTCAATTTTCATTGCCCAGATTTGTTTACATTGGTTAAAAAATACCTGATTAATTTAGTGAACTTTTTACAAGCTATGATAAGCATTTATTAACTATTTAGAAAAGACATTTCTATATATTTTATATATGAATATTGCATATCTAATCTACAAATGTTGCTTTGAAACTAATTCTGTAATTCTCTTTCATCATGCTCCTTTGAAATCTTGAGATTTCATATTCAAGCTAAAACAGATAACAGAGAAAAAAATTTAACAGTAAATGTTTATGAAATTCTAAATCAGTACCAACCCAAATTAAGTAACTTACAGTAAATTAATGGCAGTAGGGGATGGATTTTAAAGTTATTGGCATACTATGTGATACTGTAACTGTGACTTAGTGAAATATGTATCATAGCACATCTCTGTTGGGTATTAAGTCTTCATCCTAGCGTTTCCCTGCATTGCTCTTTGAAATAAAATTGCTATTATAAAAATAACCCCTGATCATATTGATGTGTTTAATTTAATCAGATGGCTTAGAATTTGCAAAGTACCAAGATTAAGGTAGTATTTTTGTACTATTATTGGAAGCATGCCTTCCCTTTTTCACCTTATTAAATTGTATTTATATTTGTGCAATTTTAAACTATGTTTTCAAATAAACTTTGTCTGTGGCTTCAAGGTCTTTTCAAGAATATTTCAGAATGGAATTTGGGGGTCAAAACTACTTCAAATCCAATAGAAGACAATCTGTACTACTGTATAAAAGGTTCCTTGTTAAAAATATTTATTTATTTAATTGAAAGTCAGTTACAGAGAGAGAGGGAGACAGATCTTCCATCAGCTGGTTCACGCCATAGATGGCCGCAGTGGCCACGGCTGGGCCAGGCCAAAGCCAGGAGCCAAGAGCTTCTTGCAGATCTCCCACATGAGTGGCAGGGACCCAAACACTTGAGCCATCTTCTGCTGCTTTTCCCAAGCCATTAGCAGGGAGCTGGATTGGAAGTAGAGAACCCGGGACACAAACTGGACATATGGGATGCCAGCATTGCAGGCGGCAGCTTGACCCTCTACACCACAACACCAGGCCCAAAAGCTCCTTTTATGGAATATCATGACACATGATCTTGCGTAAGTTATCTTGAAATCAGGAATGCATTTTTACATACACAGCACAACTTTTTTTTCAACTTTTATTTAATAAATATAAATGTCCAAAGTACAACTTTTGGATTATAGCAGTTTTTCCCCCCATAACCTCTCTCCCACCAGCAACCATCCCATTTCCCACTCCCTCTCCCATCCCGTTCTTCATCAAGATTCATTTTCAATTATCTTTATATACAGAAGATCAACTTAATATATAATAAGTAAAGATTTCAACAGTTTGCACCCACACAGAAACACAAAGTATAAAGTACAAAAAAAAAAAAAGTATAAAGTACTATTTGAGTACTAGTTATACCGTTAATTCACATAGTACAACACATTAAGGACAGAGATCCTACATGGGGAATAGGTGCACATTGACTCCCGTTGTTGATTTAACAATTGACACCCTTATTTATGATGTCAGTAATCACCCAAGGCTCTTGTCATGAGCTGCCAAGGCTATGGAAGCCTCTTGAGTTCACAAACTCTGATCTTATTTAGACAAGGCCATAATCAAAGTGGAAGTTCTCTCCTCCCTTCAGAGAAAGGTACCTCCTTCTTTGATGGCCCATTCTTTCCGCTGGGATCTCACAGAGCTCTTTCATTTAGGTTTTTGTTTGTTTTTTTTTTTTTGTTTTGTTTTTTGTTGTTTTTTTTTTTTGTTTTTTTTTTTTTGTTTTTTTTTTTTTGTTTTGTTTTTTTGCCAGAGTGTCTTGGCTTTCCATGTCTGAGAAACTCTCATGGGCTTTTTAGCCAGATCTGAATGCCTTAAAGGCTGATTCTGAGGCCAGAGTGCTGTTTAGGACATCTGCCATTCTATGAGTCTGCCACTGCACAATTTAAAAATCTCCCTCCTTGGTTAATTTTTAAGAATAAAATATTATCTAACCTGAAATTGAAACTTGTGATTTTTCTAAAATAAACATATTAAGATATATTTCGCTTTAGGGTATTGTTAGGGGGCAGAGGACCAGTCAATCAATAGGCATTTGAATATCAACTATGTGCAGGCACTGTGCTGGATGTGAGACGCAATTTCAAGTAAAGGAAAAATAAACTTGTCCTTGAAGAATGTAGATTTCTGTGAAAGGAGACTTAGAACTATTTTAGCCAATAAGAATTCTCTGTGCTGCAGAGTGGAAAAACAGGTAAATGATGTATTCCAAGAGTGAGTGAGGGCTCCTTTATCTATAGGTAGTCAGGAAAGGGAATTCTTTAGTGACATAGGGGCAGAGATTTGAATGCCAAGAAGCAGCCAGCCAGGGAGAGTTGGGAGGACATTCCTGGAGGCCTGGTGTAAGATTCCAAGGTTGGAATGAGCTTGGCAGGTGGCCAGAGCTGAGAGCAGCAGGGTGAGTGGGAGCTGGTGGGGGCAAAGGACAGAGGTGTCCTAAGGACAGGAAGCTGCAGCTTCCATGTTCCTAAAACATTCCCCAAACACAGATCTTAAGGAGCTGATTGGTGACAGAGGGATGGGCAGACTCAGATGAAGACAGCAATGAAGGCACCCCTTTCTCACTCTTCAGCCCCTCCTCTGATCTGAGGCAGCACTGAGCCTTGATGGAGTCTGTTTCTTCCTCTGTAAAATCCATCATACATCTTTCTTGCTTTCCTGCTGTGCCATATGAAGTCAAAGTCCATCCATGCCTTCCCTCACCCCTGGGAGAACTCTAGTCTTTTTATGTCTCCTACCTCCTCTTCTCAAATGTATATATTGATTTTCTGAAATAATTGCTTCTCTTCTGTGTATATAAAAGCAACCCAAGCATTCTTTTTTAGAGCAATATTTTTTAAAAAATATTTATGTAAATATTTATTTATTTATTTTATTTGAAAGGCAGAGCTACAGAGAAGCAGAGGCAGAGAGAGAGAGAGAGAGAGAGAGAGAGAAAGAGAGAGGTCTTCCATCTGCTGGTTTACTCCCCAGATGGCCACAATGAATGGAGCTAAGCCAATCCAAAGCCAGGAGCCAGGAGCCAGGTGCCAGGAGCTTCTTTCAGGTCTCCCACAAGGGTGCAGGGGCCTAAGGACTTGGGCCATCTTCTACTGCTTTCCCAGGCCA